AGCTTTGGGAATTTTCAAAAGGGATTTTGAAAAGATATGATACAATAGTGAACGGAAAGTTCAATAACTCTTGGAAAATGTAAAGTGCTAAAGCACTAAGAATAGATAAAGACCACAGAAGCCAGACACAGGTGCCTAGTCAAGGGGTGATTATAAGACTAGAGACCCGGGCGCCTGGGTGGCTCAGTGGGTTGAGCCGCTGCCTTCGGCTCAGGTCATGATCCCAGGTCCTGGGTTCAAGCCCCGCATCGGGCTTTCTGCTCAGCGGGGAGCCTGCTTCCTCCTCTCTCTCTGCCTGCCTCTCTGCCTACTTGTGATTTCTCTCTGACAAATAAATAAATAAAATCTTTAAAAAAAAAAAAAAAAAGACTAGAGACCCTGTCAATCCTTCAAAGGACGTACAAGGACAAGGTGCTGGAGAGTGGGGGATCTGAGAGAAATAACAGGAGTACCATGAAACCTTGTTACCCACTGTTTCTTCAATTTGAACAGGTTTATTCCAACCCAAGAAAGATACTAAAAGATTCATCTCTGGAGAAACTAAGTTGCCCAGTGAAAAGACCTACAGACATCTGGGAAGGCCTCCTCAATGCAGAAGCTGGCTCCCCAACCAGTAGTGCTGGAATAAAGACAAAGAGCCCATATTCCTGCTTGACTTCGGGCTGCCTATCAGCTTGGGCACTTCACTGGCACAGTTCAGTGAACGTTGTTTTCAGACAGCCAGAGGATACCAGCTATTTCAAGAAAACTCAAGACAAAAATAAGAGTGTCCAAAGCAAATTTTGAAAAAAAGCAGCAAAAGCAGCAATGGGAGGAAAGAGAAAAAAAATGCTGGGGGCCAAAGGTTACTTTTCAAAAGCTGTAACAGGGGCACCTGGGTGGCTCAGTTAGTTAAGCATGTGCCTTCGGCTCAGGTCATGATCCCAAGGTCCTGGGATCTAGTCCTGCATTGGGCTCCCTGCTCAGCAGGCAGCCTGCTTCTCTCTCTGCCCCTCCCCCGGCTCGTGCTTTCTCTTTCTAATAAATAAAATCTTTAAAAAAAGAATAAAAGCTATAATAAATGTCTCAGAGGAGGACATTATACCTGTAAAACAAAAATAGGATGAGATTAAAACCGAGAACAAGAGTACTTGAAGAATAAAAATGGGATGCTAATATTTAAAAGACAAAATATGAAAAAAGTTGTGTCCTACAGAATAATACTAGCTGCCTAAATTCCAATCTCTCCATATACCCTATAAAACCACCCTAATCCATGTCTACTATAAAACGAGGAGTCCAAGAACATTACAAACTTTCATTTGCAGGTAAACAGAGAAATACACACCCAAACACCAATGACGCCAGCTCCCAAGCCCACCCTAGAGAGTAAGGCAGAGACTGGCAGTGTTGGACACAGCCCCCCCGAAGAGCACCACACCCTACATGCGAAAATAATAAGGACAAGTCTCTGACATGGTAGATCAGAGCACAGGCTACTAAGGAACTGAAAGGAAGGGGCCAGAGAGTGCATGCAGCCAGCAATTTGGGAAGGCACTACTGTTGGAGGAGAAAAAGACACCCTTTGGCAGTTTTGTGGCAAAAAAAAGAAAGCAAGTGATGGAAACGGGGAATCCTAAGACACAAGAGAATCGCAAAACCAGAAGTCATGACAACCCCACTCCCTACCAAAAAAGGAGGCATCATCTAGCAAAGAAACTACTTATCTGTGTATCTGTGGAATAAGGTACTCTTGCACTAAAAAGTCTAGATAAGACTCTTAAACCTCAACCTGTCCACACTGAATCCCTGCTGCCACTGGTGCACGACAAAAGTAAGTCTAAGACCGCAGGGAACATCCTCGCAGAGATTATGTGAAGACTATATCATCATAAAGACTTCAAGACAGAAATTCACATACTCAGAACTGTAATGGACAAAAAAGACAAATGCTGACCAAGTTCAGAAAAGATAATAATCCTCTCATAATTTACGTGTATTGTTTCACTAAAAAAAAAAGCAATACCAGGGCACCTGGGTGGCTCAGTGGGTTAAGCCTCTACCTTCGGCTCAGGTCATAATCCCAGGGTCCTGGGACTGAGCCCCCCCGCATCTGGCGCTCTGCCCATCGGGGAGCCTGCTTCTCCCCCTCCCTCTGCCTGCCACTCTTCCTACTTGTGAGCTCTGTCAAATAAATAAATAAAATCTTTAAAAAAAAAAAAAAGCAGTACCTACACCTTATGGGTACAGTGAAGATTAAATGAAAAAACAGGTATAAAGCCTGTGATGCAGTACACACTCCTGATCAAACACAGAATAAATGTTCAACCAATGCAAAAAACGAATCACTCTACTATTCAGAAAATACCGAGAAAAGGAAAATGTGGGGGGCGTCATACTAAGGACAGTGGGATTCACTAAACGAGGAGAAGATGCTTGCCACCAAGGCAGAAGTGGTACAAATTAAAATCTTTGAGATATTACTAAAAGCATTAATATCATTGAGTTGGGTTCAAAGTTCAGCTACAAAGGAACAGTCAATCTCCAGTCAGTCTAGGAAGAGTTCTTGGAGGAAGGAAGTCTTAAACAGTGTGCCCAAAGTAAGAACAGGGTGGGTAGGAAAAGATGCCCCAGGGAGCACCATCCAGGACTTCCTATGGGGACCAATATCACTCATGTCTAACTCGGGCGGCCGTGCCATTTGCTCTACTCTCACTTCCCACTTACTGCCTTCCTCTTGCTCCCCAACTCTGCCTTCCACTGTAGGCAAGGCTTCAGAGATCCACTGGCCATCTTTTGTTTCTCCCAGGATCGTCTCCAGGTCTATTTCATCCATGGTGCTGCCCTCAGATGACAGCAGTTTATCCAAACCGAATTTGAGTATCTCACTCAGCTTGAACGGAGAAAATGAAAAAGCCCAGTTACTTTTCATGAAAACAAGCATTGGGATGTCATTGATCTGTTACATGGTGTAATGACACAAGGCAAATGCCCTTCCCTGTTGGTCGGCCATTCTTCTCTCCCCATGATGATGATACCAACACGATCATTTAGTAGTTGGATGATGGCCAAGCAGAGAGATACATACTGATCAGTGATGTTGACTTTGACAATTCTCTATAACAACAAGAAAAAACAGCCATTTTTCCCCTAAAGAACAGTAATATCCTGCATTATCTATAGCACTTTTGAGTCCTTCTCACAGGCACTTCCAGCAGCCACACGAGAAATCAAAGACCCAGTTAGCTTCTCTTGCGCTGACAAACTTAGAAGGAGAAGGCTACACTTACGTAATGCACTTAATGTACTTTATGGTACTATGATTAACTGACTTCTTTCCTTCAGCAATCTGGTTTTCTACCACAGTGCCCTATGGAAACACCTTCGTAAAGACCAGTCACAACTGATGGCCAGACCTGAAGGCTGTTTTTCAATTCTGATCTTCCTGGATATTCCTCTGGCGCTGCACTACCCTGCTTCTCTTAACTCAAATGCGCCCTTAGCCTACTCCCTAGGGATACAGTTCAAATAACTTCCCTGGCTTTAGCTTCCTACTTCCAGCTTTGCGAATCCTTAAACACTAACTCTCAGAAATTCCAAATCAAGGTAGACTCACATCTTGGCTGCTAGTTCCTATCTTACCCTTTTAGCCTGGGTCAGTTTTCTCTAGATGGTCTAGTATTTGTGAGCCAAATACTGGTGGGAATGTAAAGTGTTCCCAAGACCAGCTGTTTGAGAGGGCTGTTGTATATCTTGCCCAGCTCAAGGATACCAGAAGGTTAAATTCTGGCTCTAAAGTCTGCTTTGTCTCTTCCCCATCCGGACTATACTAATTATCTCTTTGGTTGCCAAAAACAAAGGTGACAACCCAATGCCCCTGTCTGAGATGAAAACAGTTTGTTCATTGTTTGTTTTAAAATAATCCAGTAATAAAAGAGGTCGTTATGGTTTATTAAATCTAAGAGATATAGGACTCTCAAGTCCTGAAAGAGAGAAGCAGGTTCATTATCCTACAGAGAGGCAGATGTAGTGAACACTTATTGAATGCTTACTGTGTGCTAAGTATGATCTGAAGTGCTTCTGACTGTTTCAGTGAATATGCTCCCTGGGCCAAAATGGAAGAAAATGGAAGAACCTAGGATATATTATAATATGGGTTCTAATTTTAACCCATGGCTACTATAGAATAACTTGAAGTCCTCTTCCAGAAGAGAAAATCTTCAAGTCAGCATTTGTTTCCTATCCAATATTCCCATCTTCAAGCAATTTCTTCTTTCATCCCTTTTTCCTAAAGCATAATTTTGAATTCCTGGTCTCATTTACCCGTCTCTGACTGTGAAGGTCACTCACTGATCAAAGGGTCTGGGGTTAAGATGAGGTATGGGATTAATCGTCACTTATTATGCTGAGTTCTTTTTTTTTTTTTTTTAACAGTCCTCTGAGGTAACTTGTAGTATTCTCATTTTTTTGAAATGCAAACAGAGTACAACTGAGAAGCGAAGATACCTGCTCAAAGCTACATAGCCTCTAAGTGACAAGGGTTGGATCTGAATCCAAGTGAGGGGGACCTAAAGCCCATCCCTATTATTCCATACTCCTCTACCTTTATATCATGTTCATCTCCAGTTCCTTGCTTGCATGCGGTAGGTACCATAGGAGATACGTCTGGCCAGGGAGCAAATGTGTAGTTGGGGATAGTGGGTGTGAATACCAGTTCTTTGTGTTTACTTTCTTACCCATAAGAAAGTACTGACAATATGACACATTCTTAAGGGAAGAACAACATATGATACCTGGAGGTCAGCATCAGCTGCAGGTTTCTGGGCCCCCAGAGTAAAATGGCCTCCCTCTATGACTGCATTGGTCAGCTGCAGTTTGGAGGCTGCTTTCCTACAGACTATCTCCTCCACAGTGTCTCGGCCAATCAGCCGAATAACTTTAACAGACCTGTACAGAAACAAAGGAGAGGAGTGTGCCTTGAGGGTGTGCACAGATGAACACAAGTATGCAAGGCTGATACACTTAAAAGGAAGTAAACCCAAAATGCCACGTTCAGGGTACAACTAAAGGGAGACTGTACTAAGTGGATCTGAGCATTTGTTAGAGAGATCTGGCCTCACAGAAGCTTTCCAAGAAAGTCAAGGAAGGGATGAGGCGGGGGCCCTAAACTGGGGTGTCTGATGGGAACACAGGAAGAAAACCTCTGGTCAAAGGGTAAGGTCCATCTCTTTAGCTTAACTCCACAACTTTGTAAGTTCATTTTTAAACTGAATTGGACCTTAATTCAGGAAAGAGGAGTTAAATAACTTCTAAAGGTTCCTTCTAGTCTTTTCAGGGTTTGATTGTGCTTTTTAATGAAGTAAGTTTTGAATGAGAATGTGCGCTGGCCAGCAGCCTTCAAGGAGTCAGCAGCAAAGCTGGGCTAAAACCCAGTGCTCTCTCGCCCTCTAGTCTGGGTCGTGACAGGACCAGCTTCTTCACCTTCTTCCCCAACCCAGAACTGAAGAGCCCAGGATGTGGAAGGACGCTGGTGCTGAAATCTCTCACTTGTTCTGGCCAATCCGGTGAGCCCTGGCAGCTGCCTGCAAGTCATTCTGAGGATTGAAATCACTGTCGACAAAAATAACGGTATCTGCAGCCGTTAAGTTCATGCCAACTCCTCCTGCAAACAACGCAAAAGGAACATGATCAGCAGCACACTGGCTAGGGCTAGACAATAAAGACACAAGGCCACAGCAGTATAATTGGTAAATTAAGATCAATCAAAACAATTGGCCTCACCCTTCAAACTGACACTCCATCTCCACCTCCAGGACCTTGGAGTGGTTAATAGTGCTACCCAGGCTCATACTGCCTAACTTGGGAAAATTTAACTACTAAAGGGAACAGAATGAGAGGAGCAGGGCCAAGAAGCCAAAGTACATTCTGACGTTAGTGCCAGGAAGCCATTTTAAATGGTTTGATTGGTTCGTTTAGAATACTCAGTGTAAGAGGATGCATGCTCTTTCAAAAGAAAACAGTTTTAAATCTGTGAGAGGTCTTCTGCTGCAGGCACTGTTAAGAGAGGACTTAACATCCACTGCAGGTTACAGCTAAGGTAGCAAGATCCCTGATACAGGCTAATGAGAACAGAGGATGATACTTATTTATTACACTCTTAAGCAGAGCAGGAAACTATCTCTCTCTGACAGGAGAAAACTTCAGAAACTCTTTTCTGTATTTGTTTCCACATTAATCAAAGAGAAGGTAACAAAACCAACCATAGGACAAGAACACTCCACGGGACAACTTTCCAATCCTTCTTCAGCGTTGTAGGAAAAGGGCTGAGGCGGCTCTTTGGATGATGAGAATTAATTAAGAGAACCATGAAAGCAAATTATAGCCTTGTCTTTGATTAATGTGGAAACAAGTATAAAAGGGACTCCCTCTTGCCAGGGTCGTTACAGCTCATTGCTGAGACAAGCGAGCCTAAAAGGGCTTGTTCCAAGACCCTGAATTAAGGATTAATTTTTGAGATGGGCTACTGACTCTAAGCTGGCTCTCAAGACAAGTCAGGCAGGAATATTCTAATTAAAGGCTTCATATAAAATTAAAGTTGGAATAAAGAAATAATAAAGACTGATTACTGAGAGATGCTAAATTATGCCTCATAATAATGCCAACTACACTTGTGCTGGGCTTACTATGTGCCAGGCACTGTTCTAAGCATTTTACCAGTATCAGCTCCTTTAATCCTCACAACAACCTTATGCGTCGTTTATTATTATTATTCACATTTTATAGATAAAAGAACAGAGAAGCCAAGGGACTATTTAGAGATCACACAGCTAGAAAGTGAAAGAGCACTAGTCAGTGCTCTAGTCCTACTAGTCCGTCTGGCTCCAGAGCCTTTGCTTTTTACTCACTACACCATAATTATCTCCCAGGCACTTATTTCATTAAAGTGTGCTCCATAAAAATTATCATCATCTTCTTAGGTTAATGTTGTCTCAGTTTAGCGCTTCTCCATTAAGGAGAGACGTTTTACAAACAAGCTATTCTCCAGTCTTGCTTGGGACATACCGTGAGCTATCACTGCCATCTGGTGGCAATATGCTTCAATCACAGGCATATTTGAAAGTTGGAGGGAAACCTGTTAAATGAAATGATAGTTCTCCTAATCTACAGCTTAAAAAGTGATGGCAAACATGATCATTACTGTTTGGAAAACACTCATGTCCAGGACTGCTTCAGTTCTCCAAAAAGATTACCCTGTATTGACTGAATCTGAGTACTCCAAGGGGCTGACTCTTTCTTCCTCATTTCAGACCACTGAAACATAATACTACTTTATGATGTGAAGATGAGGAAATGTGAAGATGAAGATCTTTAAACGTGAAGATGAAGAAATCGGTAATGAACAAATAGCACAGTTTTCCAATATTGAAAATGCATTTGCTCTGATCCTTCCAGTGTCTCCTAAAACCATCCCTGAGACAACAGAGAACGTGATAAATGGCTCATTCAGGGAGCCGTCTAGAATAATGGAAGCAAGTGAAGCAATCTCCTTATGGTCAAGGAGTCTACCTAACCCATCTTTATGTACTCTTACAGTACGAGACACTTCATAAATGCTTTCTAAGATGGAACTTTCTCTTTAAAAAGATGCTGATCTCTCCTTAATAGAGGACACAAATCCCTTTAGTGTTCCTGCATCTATTGCATCAAAATTAGGTCTACAGGGCACCTGTGTGGCTCAGTCAAGTAAGTGTCTGCCTTCGGGTCAGGTCATGATCTCAGGGTCCTGGGATAAGCTCCCTGCTCAGCGGGGACTCTGCTTCTCTCTCTTTCCTTCTGCCCCTCCACCCCACTAGTGATCTCTCTCTAGCTCACTGTCTCCCAAATAAATAAATAAAGATCTTAAAAAAAAAAAAATTATATCTACAAAAAATAAGATCATAGTTTAAGATTCTGTAAGTTCAAAACTAATTTAAGGTGGGCTTACTCCAGGAAATAATAATTTCATTTCTGAGAACTGATTTCAAATGACTAAAGTGTCTATAAAGGCAGTCTTTAACTGGTATAGAACTATAAATAACACATAAAATATTTATGACTTACCTCATAAAGATAATGTTAAAAATAATTCTAAAGAGCTGGCGATTTCATTATAATCACAAGTTTTTTTAAAAAGGGATTTTTACTAAGCTTTTACAGCACGATTCCAGAGTTACTTATGGAGGAGGGGTAAGTAGCAAACAGGTTGTTGTTATCTTACTTCCCAAATTCACAACTGAGAAGGAGTGTTTTCTCTGCTGAATGGGAGTAAAACTGTCCACGAAATTACAGACAACTTCTGGGACAATCCCAGGTCAGTGGTCAAAGCAAGTTAAAATCACTTTCCAACAACCCCTGGCTCCAGCCTTATTTCTCTGAGCTGGCAGCTTAGAGAACTTGGACAGGAAAGAACCCCATGCTAGGAGTCCAAAACTTTGATTAATTTATGGCAACTCCCTCAATTTCCCTTTTTTATGTTCCTTGTCGATGACCTCACCTTTCAGAGAATTAGGGGAAAACATACTAATGGTTGGGATGTAAAAGTACTCTATCTCCCCCTGATTTGTCTGCTTTTGCCAATGCCTTCGTGGCCTACCTGCCCTGGTACTCAGGAGAAAAATAAAAACAGGCTGCTGTCCAAAGTTCTTAATGGCCAGGTGTCTCTCCTCTCCTCTCACAGAACCATCCACACGCTCATAGCTGTACCCTTCACACAGAAAAAGAAAACAGAAATAGAAACCCTTTTCACATATTCTTTGGGTAATAAAACACTGTCAGCTCAAAACCAAATGCTAATTTTGTCCTTTTTTGTATATAGATATGCCCCTACTTTCAGCAAATCCCATGGTAAAAATCTAAATTTAGGCAACATTTGTTTTACAAAAGAACTCAACATAATATACCTCTCTGGGTTTTTTAAATATATGCAGTCAATGTATTTGGTGCTCGTGGGTTAAAAGTCAATTCTAACTATCCCAACCCTGAAGCACACTGTGAACCATGCTGTGCGTAGTTTCCAATTCTGCTGCAACAGAATTCTTACTTATGCAAGGAGGAACACAAGCACTTAGGAGCTTGTGAGTGAGCCTGCCCAGTGGCCCAGCAGCTGCCTTTCAATGAAGCTTCAGGTTCTCCACCCATCAGCACAGACCCCTGTCAGGAAGGGGAATTACATGCTCAAGCCCTGTTTGTGAATCTGGGGATCCCTCAACATGCTAATGGCATTTCCTGCAATTGTCCAGTGGACCAGGTACTCTACTGTAGTACTCAGGGGACATCAAGTGGCTCCGAGAGATCTACTCTGAATTCAGGTTTTAAACAGCAAGGTCTGAAGCTGATACTCCCTCACCACTGATTTCAGGATCAGTCAGTGTTACAGCCTTTTCCCAGCATCCCACATACATTTTATTATATATTAAACAGAATCCCCAGGTAATAACTTACATTCCCTATTGTTTATATAGAAAAAATATTCCTTTCCCTTGGTTGACAAATGGGATCTCTAGAATTTCATCTTTTTCTACTGATCCTGAGTAAGTGCTCAACTGCCGAACTGATGGTACAAGACACCAAAAGCTTTTTTTTGTAAACATTTTCAAAAACACTCAATAGTTCTGCAACTCGGATTTTTTTTCCAGTGCCCATAATTTTAAATCACATTGCCAATGGAATCTATGTTTATTTCTGCCCATGTGTCTTTACCCAGCTGTCAGTCCTTGTGTAAAACACCTCTCTCCTTACTTCCAATCTTTCTTCGGTCCAAAATAATGTTCTTTGACTGCTTTCCTCTGTAACATCTCCACTCCGCGCCACCCCCCGGATTACCCTTCATGGACCTAGTAGACTGTTAAGTCTAAAAATGGCTTAAGCAACGTAGTGGCCAAGGAATGTCACCTCTATAGTCCATGTAGTCTTGGAGAATATCCAACATCTGGGTCATCTGGGAGAAAAGTAAAACTCGATGGCCCCTGGCAAGAAAGAGAAAAGGAAAGTCTACCAACTCTAAGTATTTAAGGTGAGTTTCCCTCAGGGGAAACTTACCAAAGAATACAAGTTTATAAATAAATGAAATTCTGAAGCAGAAATATAGATACCATAATTACTTACAGAGACTTCCCTCAGAAATGCTAAATGTTCCACATAAATAACCACATGTAGCCATATTCTGCAGAGCCTAAGTTCTCAAACTACAGATATTCCCAGGAGCATGTGTCAATGCACCACAGGGTATAAAAAGCCCCAGGATAACCTCTTTATGAAATGTCAATTTACTAATGGGAAGAAATATACACATCCATTTTAATAGCAAAATAAATAAAAGTACGTGAAGAATAAAGTGCAAAATTCAAACGCACAAAACCCAACTGGAAATCCTGAAGAACTTGTGGTCAGCCATCTTATGGCCATTCTCTAGTTGAGGGTGTAAAATCACCATCCTCTCATCTACAGCTGTATCTCATATCCCATATACGATACATTAAAAAAACTAATGTATAGGGAGAAGAAGGGAAAGGAGGAGGCAAAATGAATTAAGTCAAGAATAAAGATAAGCCTACAGTCCCATGCTATCAGGTATTATTTTAAGTTTTCACAAAGAAAAAAATGTAACACTGTAAAAACAGGAGTCTCATTAGGAAAACTAATTTAACCTGAGCTTGTGATGTGTATAAAGGAACAATTATGAAGAACTCCTTCAAGACTCTAGCCCTAAACGTATGGAAAAGGCGCTGAAGTTGAGGACCTCAATTCTAATCCCATCTCTGTCATCTGCTGGCTGTGTAACTTTAGACAAGCCACAGGACCACTCTGGGCCTGTTTCATCACCTATGACATTAAAAGGTTGGAAAGATGTTTACGAGTCCTCCTCCACCTCTAACACACTTATACTAGATATATCAAAGCCAATAAAATACATTGAGACATGCAATTATTTGGCTTGCACATTCCTAATGTTGGGTAGTTTTGCCAAATCTCAGGTCTTACGGTTAGTTCAGGCTCACCTGACACAGTTGCGCTGAAGGGACAACTTTGAAATCCTTAGGAAGCTGGGCTTTTTCTAGACTTCTTTGTCCCTCTGGGGACCAGGAGGATGAGGTAGAGGCTGGATACCAAGCCACTGAACATTTAGCTGAACCTTTAAAGGTTCCAGGAATGACTCGGTCTTCTGCTACCCAACCCATGTTTCTGGGTAAGAGTTCTGCAAGTTCTCTTTGAACCAAACCCTACAGGTTAACAAAGATGCATATTTACTAAGCCCTCATTAGGTGCCAATTCAGTGTAAGGTAACAGCAGGCAATTAAAAAAGAAATGTTTGATGATATCTCTGTTTTGGGGGAACTAAACAATACAGCTGGAGTAATGAGATTCCTACACATCAATTAAACAGAGAGCAGATTAAGGGAGTGCACTGCCAAATGCTGGATTAGGATCCTAGGTGCTGTATTCAGGAAGGGAAGGACGATTATGGAGGGGATAGGGTGGGGTGGGATGGGGTGTGGGTGTAGTTGCAGTGAAGGTGGAACCCGAATCAGGGTCTTTAAAAAAGGAAAACTGGAATTAGTCTCAAGAAATCAGTAAATTCAGGCACCTGACTGGCTCAGTTGGTTAAGCATCTGCCTGGCTCAAGTCATGATCCCGGGGTTCTGGGATCGAGCCCCACATTGAGCTCCCTGCTCAGGGAGAAACCTGCTTCTCCCTCTCCCTGCTCCCCCCCCTCATGTTCTTTCACTCGCTATCTCTCCCTCAAATAAATAAATAAAATCTTAAAGAAAAAAAAAATCAGTGAATCACCTGGTTTTAAAAAATTATCAGCTCAGAGCAGAAAATGTAAACCAACCACCTACCTGGAATACAGGAATGCCAGCAGCTTATCCAATAGATGAAGTTTCCCACTGGCCTCAATCAGGTGGTCTCCAATCTCAAAAGGCTCTGGTTCCACACCTGAAAAAAAAAGGGAACCTATTCCCAATAATGTGTCCCCTGACCAGGGCAGACTCCTTAAGTACAGAAGCTGATGGTAAGGCTACAGCAACAGGCCAAGCTCCTCCTAATTGATAATGGGTCCTAGTCTCATCTCTCTTTGAGACATTTTATAATTATTTGTATGATAATCTTGGCTCTGCTTAACATCAATCAGAGAGCATAACACTCCCAACATGCCTAATAAATGCCCACCCAAGGAACAAGCCCACTCTTTACAAGAAGGAGGCACAAGGACATGCTAAAAGCCAGAGAATTGAAAATTTGAGACTCACTCAAAAAAACAAATCAAAAATAATGCTTAGATGTATTAACTAGTAATTCTCAAGGTGGGGGGGTGTGTGGCAGTCAGAATAACCTAGAGGGCTTCTTTCAAAATCCACGCCCCCTGCCTTAAAAAAAGATTCCGAAATGTACCTGATTAAGATTCTGTGACATTTAAAACAATTCAGAGTGCTACTTACAAATACTCCCTTAAAATGACTCCAGCAAACCCTCCACATTGATCCTATCCATTCTAGTGCCCCCACGGCCACAGAAGTCCTAGAAGTGTCCCAAAAGCTACCCATCGGAGTGAATCAAAAAAGCCCTCATTTGGTATGTAGCTAAAACAGCACTTAGAGGTAAATTTACAGACATCTCTAAAATGGAGGGGAAGCAGCAAAGAAGGATGAGAAGGAGCAGAGGTAGGGAAATGGAGAAGCAAGAGAAAGCACTGTTCTAGAAGGCAAAGGAAGAAAGTGTTTCAAGAAAGAAGTTATCAACTGTGTCAAAGGTTTCGAGAGATTAATTAAAATGCGAACTGACAACCATCCAGAGATCCCTGGTAAACCCGCAAAGTTCAAGGCTGGTAACGAAAGGCTAACAATGGAATGGGTTTAAGACAATGGGACATCTAGGGACACCTGGATGGCTCAGTTGGTTGACATCTGACTCTATTTCAGCTCAGGTCTTGACGTGAGGGTCATGAGTTCAAGCCCTGCACTGGCCTCCACAGTTGGCTGAGTGTGGAGCCCACTTTAAAAAAAAAAGAAAAAAAGACAGGGGCGCATGGGTGGCTCAGTCATTAAGTGTCTGTCTTCGACTCAGGTCATGATCCCAGCATACTGGGATCAAGCCCCACATCGAGACCCATTCTCCCTCTCCAGCTCCCCCTGCTTGTGTTCCCTCTCTCACTATCTCTCTCAGTCATTAATAAATAAAATCTTTAGGGGAAAAAAAAAAGACAATAAGATATCTAATCATGAAGAAATGATCCCTAAAGCCAGATTATGAGACAACCCATTAAAACAAGCAGCCCTGAGATTCTTCAAAACTATAATTTCAGGTAAGATCAACAAAGGCAAAAAACAAAAACAAACAAATAAAAACCCCTGAGTAATGTTTCTGGATTACAGGAGAATAAAGAGACAAATTCAGATCTATGACTCGATTTTGAATTTAAAGAGAGAAGAAAATCAAAGCCATAAAGAGACACTAAGAGGACAACTGAAAAAAGTTGACTATGAACAATATATTAGATTACATCAACATAAAATTAACAAAAGAAAATGGGGGAAAAACTAGACAGTAAATACAGGCAATTCTTTTGAAGAATGATGTGGCCACAGAAATGTTCATGAAAAGCAGTGTGAGGAAAAAAGGGCATTTGTCTCACCATCAAACAGATATGGGTGATCCACACACTTTCGAAGCTGGGACAAGATATTCTGAAGTTTAACTTTCTTTGCCATCTCATTTTCAAATGCATCTGAAAACAGCAACAGACAGAGAGATATGGATTACTAGTAGAACAAAAACAAAAACAAAACAAAAACGCTAAGTTAACCTAATTTATTCAGTAATAGATCTCTTAAACCTGTAATAACCTCTTAAATTTCACTGAATTGTATTAAGAATTAACAGCATAGGAGCACCTGGGTGGTTCCCAGGGTTAAAGCCTCTGCCTTAGGCTCAGGTCATGGTCCCGGCGTCCTGGGATTGGGCCCTGCATCAGGCTCTCTGCTCAGCGGGGAGCCTGCTTCCTCCTTTCTCTCTGCCTGCCTCTCTGCCTACTTGAGATCTATGTCTGTCAAATAAATAAATAAAATCTAAAAAAAAAAAAAAGAAAGAAAGAAAGAAAGAAAATTAACAGCATAGGGGCGCCTGGGAGGCTCAGTGGGTCAGGCCTCTGCCTTCAGCTTGGGTCATGGTCTCAGGGTCCTGGAATCAGACCCCGCATTGGGCTCCCTGCTCGGCGGGGAGCCTGCTTCCCCCTCTCTCTCTGCCTGCCTCTCTGCCTACTTGTGCTCCGTTAAATAAATAAATAAAATCTTAAAAAAAAAAAAAAGAATTAACAGCTTATTCACACAAAATTTTCTTAACTATCACTTTGTTTTAAGGAAGCCTAACTATAAAATGAACTCGGGAGCATGTTGTTATTTTACACAATTCTAAAGTCCTTCCTTTAACTACTGTTGTGGAGCCAAGGGATAAAATAACACAGAGTGACAGACTGTTCTACTCTCTCTGTTCCCACTCCCAATTCCTCTCAGTGAATCTGATCCAACAAAACAGCTTTGCAATGTGTTAAATATCTGATAGGGTGGAAAAATGAAAGGCATGACTGGCATACCTAGAAGTGTTTGCTTAACTAACTTCCACGTAGTAAGGACAACTGGGCGGGGGGGGGGGGGGGGAAGGATTTCACAAGTGCAACAACCAATGAAATCTGTTTTACTGTAAAGATACCCCACACGGTTTCACTGCAGCTGACCTCAACATTATTCAGAATACAAAATTCCATCCGTATTACTATACAAACCAAGTATGATAATAAAATATTTACTCACCTAGTACATGTATACCCACTAGTAGGCATGCCTAGCATTTATTTTGAACAATCATCCTGGGATAATAATAAAATCCCCTCCTTGTTTAGTTTCTAAACAGTCAAGTGCCCTCTGATTACCTAGGTCTTTCATCAAAATGGCCTTGTAGTATCTTTTCTGCAGTGCTGACATGCCATGGTACAGCACTACCTCTGTCTTCTTGGGAAGCTCTGTAGCTACCTCAGCTTTCACCCGCCTCAACAGAAATGGCTGCAGGAGTTTGTGTAGTTCCCTTGCTGTGTAAGGGGAAAAAAAAAAAACAACAAGAAGAGTCGGATGAAATTTTCATGCCAGTTCCACATGCTAGACCAGTATGGTGATTTTTCATAGTACAGGTGAACCTTGAACATGGGTTTGAACTGCGCAGGTTGACTTAAATGCAGATTTTTTTTCAATAAATACAATAAATACAGTACTACTCTAAGTATATTTTTGCTTCCTTAGGATTTTCTTAGCATTTTCTTTCCTCTGGGTCACTTGACTGTTAAGAATACAGTCTAACACACATAACACACCAAATATGTGGTCGTTGTTTACATTACCATTAAAGCATCCAGTTAACGGCAGGCTATTAGTAGTTAAGTTTGGGAAGTCAAAAGTTAGAGCAGATTTTCGACTGTGTGGGGGCCGTCAACATCCCTAACCCCTGGTTGAAGGGCCAACCGTATTTCTTCCTTCATTGGGTTCTTTTTCCCAACTCCTCCTGAAATTGTTACTGGCTGTCAACTTAAGAACTAGGAACACTCAAAGAACTTAATTTTTAGGGGCACCTGGGTGGATCAGTTGGTTAAGCAACTGCCTTCGGCTCAGGTCATGATCCTGGAGTCCTGGGATCAAGTCCCACATCAGGCTCCCTGCTTGGCAGGAGTCTGCTTCTCCCTCTGACCTCTCCCCTGTCATGCTCTCTCTCTCTCTCTCTCAAATACATACATAAAATCTAAAAAAAAAAAAACAAAAAACTTAATTTTTATTAATAATTTCTCATCTGCATGAAGTTTTACTGTTTCCAGGATACTTCTGCACTTAATCTGATTAAACACCGTAAGAGCTCAGAAGTAGAGGGACAAATAATATTGTCCCCATTTTTTAAAGATTATTTATTTATTTATTTGAGAGAGAGAACATGAGAGGGGAGAAGGTCAGAGGGAGAAGCAGACTCCCCATGGAGCTGGGAGCCCAATGCGGGACTCGATCCCAGAACTCCGGGATCACAACCTCAACAGAAGGCAGTGTGAAGGCCCAACCGAGCCACCTAGGCACCCAAATTGTCCCCATTTTTATAGCTAAGTTAAGCACACCTTATTCAAAGTTACACAGCTGGACACCAATGTTGCTATTATTCAGACCCAGTTCTTTTCAGTTCAATATCTTTGTTCCTTCCCCAGGCATCATGAACTTCACAAACTAGCCTGAACTGGAATTCCACTGCCATGTTGGGTTGCCAGATAAAATATATGACCCCCCAGTCAAATACTACATGGGACATACTCCTATTACAAAATTATTTTGTTGTTTTTGTGGAATTTATATTTCACTGCATTCTTGTATTTTTATTTGCTGTACCTGGCAACCCTAAACATGGAGGCAATCGGAGGAGGTTCCCCAGGTAATCTCCAGCTTATGGTACGGGCATTTCTGCTGTGAGAAGCTCTTCCAATTCACACTCACCTAGTACATATATCCCCACTAGTCGGCATGCCTAGCACTTATTTTGCACAATCATCCTGGGGTAACAATACGGGGGATAGACAGGTAATTCAACAAGGCAGTGGGGCAAAAGTACAAGAGGAAGAAGACTGCAACTGGCAGCTGTATAAATGATGGCTCCCCTCCTTTGCTTCCACCACCCACATATCCCAGACTCTTGGTTTTGATGCACTGTTAACAGAAACCCCAGTGCTATGGAATGCTGAGGAGTGGTTTCTGCCTCTGTAAACAGCACAGAAAGTTAACAAGTTACAAAAGTAAAGAAGTTATGTGTTGAAGCGGGGGAGAAGCAGACTCTTTCTACTTCTTCCCAAAATGATCCATTAAGCCTTCGTGTAGAATCATGTAACAAATAAGAATCATGAATAGCAGACAACTGGGAACAACCTGAGGGATCTAGCACCACCTCAATTTTGTGTGGCTCTTTATCTACCTAGGAGGTGTCCTCCAGTTATCAATTCTCTTTCTTTTCTACCTATAACCCCATATCTGTTATGCACCAGGGCAGGTTCTAGGCCCAGACTTTTTGGCATGATTTCTAGGAAGGAAACTTGCCTGACTCAGACTCCTTCTCAATATCCTGGTAATGCTGAACAAAATCTCCCACCTGCTCCTTGGGAAAGAGATCAGGCTCCACAAAGCTGAGAAGAGAGTAGAGTACTTGGAGGCTGTTCTGGATGGGAGTTCCGGTCAATAGGAGACTGAAGACTACTGAGAACTCAAATACATAAATGAATAAAGTAAAAAATCCATAAACCAAGAAGACCAAGTTCCCCATTACAACCTTTACCTGTACAGAGAGAGGCGTAATTTAACAGGATGACCATGAGGACATGAAACCAGAAAACTGGTTCAAGCTGTATACTACAGATCTGATATAGGAAATAATACCTCTTCGGTTGTAAGAAGGGGACAATAATTCTGTGAAGGAGATACTGTCATAAGGAGGTAAGGAAAATCACTGTGTGAATTCTGAAGTACTACATGAGCATTTGATATGGCTATCATTATTCAATCTTAGTGGGGATTCAAGCTATATTTTATTACCCACATGGATGAGTCTACTGAGGCATCAGAGGCACATGGTACATACTCAAGCAGTCTGAAAAAGCTACAGCATCATTTTTT